AAGGGGACTTTCTGACATTGATCCAGGCTGCCTGATAGGCGTTAGTGAACACCCGTCAACATCGATCGTGCCTCTATGAAATGCCTGAACGCTGATCACATTCGGTTGTGGTTCTGTGACGTGCATGAACACTCATCAGCTTTTGCTGAATTGTTTGAATGATTGACTGGCCTGGATGCTTGCCGGCTTTTCTGTTGAGATTTCGATGGAGCAGTAGGTTCCGGGCGTTCTGAAGTTGCTTTCAGGAATCTGACCTTCCTGATATATAACTTCTAACTTAGATCATGAGATGATCTGGCACAGTCTGGAAGACCTAAATCTGCTTGAGAAGCTTTGAGACGCAACATATTTCATTGCTGCAATCCAAGAGGTCCATCCATGTGAATTTGCGTGACATGCGGACGCATGTTTTGGAGGGACAAACCTTTTGGATCACCAGGATAATCATCGACCCAACTGATGATTGTGTGCAACCGGAAACCAGGTAAGTTTGCTCCATTTCCTAATCAATACCTGTTTGACGCTGCCATCTTGAGGGCGACAAGGCGGGTAACCACACTGCTAGAGGAATATCACCGGGTTATGCTATCGTGTTCAGGCAAGCTGATGGCTTGAAACAAGCCGGTCATATTTCCTCTGGTCTACATTACCACTAAGAGAGTGGTGGCATGTAGCACCAAGCCATTTGTGCTTGGTTAACAGAATCAAGTTACTAGAACGTCTCTCCTGCTCACTCACGGCCTAGCGTCTACTACTCGGACAGCATTATCCTCGAGCTCCTGTAATTGTGGCGCTCAAAGATTTCAATAACCGAGAAGTAGACAGTGAAACTTCAATCGTTGCAACTACTGATCGATTCTCAGCTGATTTGAAATTGTATCGATTTTATCCTGAAGCATTCTATTGGAGTCTGTTTACGCACTTGAGAAGCGCTTAGTTGAAAGTAATGCTTTATTCTGGCCGTCTTTTCATGCCAGCCAAACAGGCTGTACATAGACTTGTTTGCCTGACCCAGAGCGATAACCTCAGAAACGGAACTCCCCGTCAGTGTTCGACCATCGGTTTCTCCGAGGCATTGGTTAGGCCTAGTTGGAACATCGGATTAGTACTGTTGAGTTGCGTCAGGAAGATGGAACTCACGCACGAAAGATGACCTACTCATGCTTCATGGGTTATGATGGTCAGGATACGTACTCCGCATGCACAAGACCGTCGAGCTCTTTTCGTCCAGCTGTGTGCCGAGTGGAAGCGTTCAGCTGTAGCACCCTTTCGGTGCCCAACTGCCATGCCACCAGAGGGAAGCACGAGGGCTGGGGTACTGCCAGGTTGCCCAAGCCTAGACAGGGGAAGTCGAGAGGCAGAGGTCGGGTTCGAACCACGGACCTTCCGGTCAGTAAACTCGCGCCCTAACCACTTTGGACATCTCGCCACAACATCCAAGAGGGGTTACAGTGTATGACCTGGCAAAGAAGTATTAAAACACTAGCCAGTCAACTCCGGTGGAGCTCTAACTGCCGCCTGGATGGGAACCTCCAAACTCAACCCACCAATGGTTAATGACTGGCAGAAATGGCCCCATCGCTTAGTCAGTGTGCATCAAAGCTATCGCCCACGATTCTTGGTTATATCTCAGGCTCACCCATTCTCCGGTGACTGAAACTGTAGCAGCTGAAACCAACATTCTTCTGATGCCAAAGTTACAAAGGCCTCGCAATATTTAAAGGAAGCCTTTTGATATTGATCCAAGCTGTCTGATTGGCGTTTAGTGAACACCGATCAACATCGTCCGTGCTTCTATGAAATGCCTGAGCACTGATCATAGTCGTGCTTCTGCGGCATGTCTGAACTGAATTGATTGAATGATTGACTGTCCTGGATGTTTGTCCCTTTTTCCTGTTGAGATTCTGGTGGAATTTTGGGGTCTCAGTAGGTTCCACGCGTTCCGGGGTTACTCTCAGGAATCTGACCTTCCTGACAGGGATGATAGGAGGTACCATCGTCGTCTCATTACCCAGTAGTCTGTGGAAAATTTCTTATAAAACAAACGGGGAGAGGATCCGAGCAAAACGAAAATCAATAAATTGTGTCACTGAAGGAATTGCCTGAGTGCACTCATGAAGGAGTTCCAAATAACGGTACAATACACACACACACACACACCGGTTTACACAGGTACTGAGTAAAGCTTAGTGCCCGGGGAACTTGCGATTCCCGCAAACATGATATGAATGTACGCGGAAAAAGACATGGCACATCGGCTCGACCAATAAGGGCGTGAGTTGCAGAAAGAACCAAGGAACCGTGAAATATAGTGTAGTAAAGCGCAACATGGTACAATATGGTATACACTATAGTACACTACAGTACTATAGTATACTACAATGGTGGTGCAGTATGGCATAGTATGGTGCGAGGCATTAAGCAGAGTACAGTAGTTCATTATTGAGCACGGAACGTTACCGGAACCAACCTGTTTTTCTTGAAATTGTCGAACCTGCAAATTTCAAGGTGATGAAAATTTGTCACATTGATTGACTAGCCCAACATTTGCTGTTCATCTACACTCGGTTTGGAACTCGATTCATCTATCTCGAATAAACTGTCTCGTTAGCGCAGATGAGAGCCAACTCGGGAGCATGGCCGGGCGGATTAGGTGAACATCGTCCAGTGTGATCTTCATTAAAGTTGCGTTTTTGAAAATAGTGTGGCATCCGAGAAGCATGGTGAAGTTGTTTCACCCATATTGACATATATCCCAATAGTTTTGAACTGGCAGCGTTCCGGCTAGCGGTTGAACGCGAACAGCTGACCAGCAGCGCGACCACCGTTCAGCCGTAGCACCCTTTCGGTGCCCAACTGCCATGCCACCAGAGGGAAGCACGAGGGCTGGGGTACTGCCAGGTTGCCCAAGCCTAGACAGGGGAAGTCGAGAGGCAGAGGTCGGGTTCGAACCACGGACCTTCCGGTCAGTAAACTCGCGCTCTAACCACTCAGACCATCTCTCCTGCAGCGTGACTAACTCGCTTTAAGGTAGGATACAAGGTCACTCATCTAGGTTCTGAAATAGTTACTTCCAAGCTTCACACATCTTGTGAATTGTTCCTTACCTGAGTGGAATAACCCTCGATTAAAATACAACTCAGAGTCTGGCCAATACCAAGCTTTTGGCTTTTGATCTTTGTCAAGGTCACACCTACCCATTCGCGGGTAAAACGTTGGCTTCTGGGCTTTTGGCTTTGATCTTTGTCGAGGTCACACCTACCCATTCGCGGGTAAAACGTTGGCTTCTGGTGCACAAATCTGGCAAAGGTTTGCGCTGTGCACAGGTATCGTGGCTTGAGCTCGACTGGGGTTGAATACTGACTTAAGAAAAGCTAAGGATGGTCGTCTGATGACTGTCGTGTGGACAGCTCATACCCTATATGCATACAGAAAAGAACCTCAAAATAGAGATACGATTTCCGATAGGTGTCATGTTACAAGTAGTGAATGTACGATAATTGCTAAAAACTGAACCGCACATGAAACGCAGGACAAAGAACTGAACAATAATTCTGTTCAGTANCCTGCTGAACCGCTCTTCCGATCTGGGGAAGTCGAGAGGTAGAGGTCGGGTTCCAACAAAGGACCTTCCGATCGGTAAATTCGTGCTCTAACCACTTGGACCATCTCCCCTTGCTACAAACTTGCTACAAACTGAACCACACGTGAAACGCAGGACAAAGAACTGAATAAGAACTCGTATTCAGTAGAGAACAAACCATTTTGTGAATTCCCTTCTTAAAACTTGAACTAAAAGAATCCGGTCTTTACTGAGGGTTCACCTTACCTAGATGGCTTTGAGTTACTGTTAGGAAGCAAGTGGGGATTTAGGATGTGCAAAATTCAGGTAAATTGTCTGAGGAAAATAGACGGCTGATTTATACCTCAGGAAATCATGTGACTTCATTCTCTGTTCGGCACAGAAGCTATGGATCTCAGCTCAACTCTGAGCACAAAACGACGGGGTCTACTGGCCCACCTTGAACGGTGAATTCTTTTGACGTAACGCAGAAGTTTGTCAGGGGGATAAACTGTGACCAGAGACCACCATTAAGACAGTTTCTAGCTGATCAAGGTGGCTTTATTGGCAGAGCGTTTGCAAAAATTCTAGTCAAACGGGCTAGAAATCAAAGCGAAAAAAGTAGCCAATAGGACGACCCGATTCGGTCATAGAAAGTATACAAGAACACTGATGTTTTCAAAACATCTTCGCCAGGACAGTACGTATCCAATAGTTAAAATAGGAGATGAACAATTCAAAAACAAGTCCAGTCGAGTAAACTGAAAACTTACATAAATCTAAGATGGTCCTAAAGCTGTACGAACTGTTGAACTGTAGCTTCAGTGCCTCCCCCACCCTCATTCGCCGCTTTCAACTCACCTTTTGGTGCGTATCTCAACACGACGTTTTGCTACCGGGTATACAAGAGATGTTTTCAAAACATCTTCGCCAGGACAGTACGTATCCAATAGTTAAAATAGGAGATGAACAATTCAAAAACAAGTCCAGTCGAGTAAACTGAAAACTTACATAAATCTAAGATGGTCCTAAAGCTGTACGAACTGTTGAACTGTAGCTTCAGTGCCTCCCCCACCCTCATTCGCCGCTTTCAACTCACCTTTTGGTGCGTATCTCAACACGACGTTTTGCTACCGGTTTCTTTATCACTTGTTTTGACCATGTTGGTGAGCACTGCTAATGGCAACTGCACAAGACGCAATTGCAGCTGACTTATTTATTCCATAGTTTATTTTTTTTTAAAAATCAGTGTATTGCGGATAACCAAATGCGTATTGTCATCTGACTGTTCAATTTTTTACACTACAGAGATGGAGGAATCTTCTC